TGAAATACCATTCTCATTTAAATACTTAGTAAGTGAATTAAGTTCAGTAAACATAAATGCGAGATTAAAGTTAATGAATATTTAAAAAGTAAATCAAATACCTATTAATACCGGATAACAAGAGCTCGAGCTGGAAAGGTTTTTAAGAATACTCTTTTTTTGGGGGTTTTGCATTAGTAGCCGCTTCCTAAGATTTAGGACCGCATACTCCACTTGTTCCTCCCTGGATGTTATCTTCTGACTAGTGTAGGTGAACTTCAGTGCGTAATGTCGATTTTGACCAGATGTGACAGCTGGGACGTCTTGAAGTCTTGTTACAACGTTTGCAATGGGCGTGCCGAAGTTGGCTTGAAATGCTTGTAGTCAAAGTGGGGCTTTTATTAGCCTTGTATAAGGCGCCACGACGCGCAAACGAGCGGATTGAATAGGTTTGAGCGAGGGGGAGGCAGTAAAAAAAAACAGATAAATGAAACGAATGTACTAGTTACAACACCAGTACTATACATATGCCCTATCTCGCGTGGTGCGCAGACCTGAACATGCCCTAAAGTGGCACCAGCCAAGGCAGGTGTTGCACTTGACTGATGTCACGTAACGGAATATCCTGGTCTGACATACCGTGCAGATTGTAGGAGGAACCAGGAGTTGTTGCCCGGCGGGGTGTGGGTGGTGTTGCGGTTGTGTCTGTTGTGTGGTCTGTCGTGGTTGTGGTGTGGTCTATTGTGTTATTGTGTTGTGGTGCTGTGGTGTTTGTGTTGAGCTGCTCAGCTGGACTGGGGTTAGGCGTCAAGGCTGCTCTGTTTGAGCAGCAGGGGGCCACAAATGACGTGGTCCACTGCCGATGGGTCCGTAGTCCTGAGGTGACTCCACCCGTCGCAAGCATTGCACCTGACTGAGATGGAGTTGTGGTGTAGCCGTTTCTCGCATACACAGCAGGTGTAGGTTTCTGGCCCTTTCACTGAACAAACTTTACACTAGAGGCATAATCTGGCGTTTGAGGACAGAACTCTATCAGCCCAATTCTGAATATTCTCGAGGATTTCATTTCTCGCGGATTTTACTTTTCTCGACAATAAAATCCTATTCGAAACTGCCAGGGAGCAGCATTTTCCCCGAAAATTTGGGAGCAGGAAATTCGAACTTTCGAAGAGCTGTTTGACAGTTATTTGGACAGCTCAACTCCCGCCATTTAATTTGCGTGCTTTACACATAAAAGTGTGTTTCACATAAAAGAGTATTTCAGATTAAAGTCGTTAATTAATTAGTGTGCGGAAAGTTCAAATCTGTGATTTAAATTAAAGCTCAATCTTTTAACTACACGGGTAAGTTGAAAGATTTTAATTAAATCGCGCGCAAATAGAATAAGAGTACCCTCTGCTAAGTCCAGTTGCCACTGTGAATTTTGGAAGTCACATTATTAATAAACTAGAGCTCCGGAAATTTATATATTAGTGCTAAATTAAAACTTAGTCTTTTAACTACACATGTGAGTTGAAATATTTTGATTTCAATCGCGCGTTTTCACGTAATAAACCAAAATAACCTAGCTTCCATTAGGCTTATTAAGATTTCTACCTGTTTTTCACTTGTTATTTTGGACTTAAAATGAAAGGTTTAAAAGTTTTATTACACCAAATTTCCTTTAGATTGTAATTAACTTACATTTTTGTAGGAGTTCCATTTTAAAATACCGGTGAAAATTCTCCCAGAATAACGAAATCAATTCTCCTCCTTTTTGACATTCGTAATACGTACTTTTTTCCCCAAAATACATTTTCCTTTTTTCGAAGATCGTTTAGAATAGGAGAATAGGTAAAAGAGGAAAAAATCCTAAGGGAATTTGTATTCATGATAGGAGAAAATAGAAATGGGGAAAAATTCCTAGGGAGTTTCTATTCAGAATCCATGAATCAATAATACAAGGTGGTATCAGTTGTGACAGCTCAATTTGACAATGCCTTAGCTCATGATTCAATAACACAAGGTTAGATAATTATTGACAGCCACGGTTTGACACTCCCTTGCAAAAGGTTGCATTTACGAAGGGCAGAGAAGAGGGGAGAATGCAATCCCTTGTTGAGAAAATGGTAGTAGAAAAGTACGCAAAGTAGGCAATTAGTAGTGAAATTCCTTTTGTAAATTCTAATGTATTTGCAGGAAATCTGGCAGTTTAAACGAAATATTGAACGAAATATTAAACATCTACGTGAATTACGTAATTTATGTGCTATTTAGCTGTATAAAAAATGCAAAAGGACTCAAAAATAAAATAAAACTACTATTGGATTTATGTAAACATCCAATTTAAAAACAATTTATGTTTTCATCAGTTAAATGTGCTTCATATGCATATACAAATAAACATATTGCACAAAAGCTTATAGATAGTTAGATAGATAGTTGGTTGGGTATGGCACTGCGACCAGTAGGTCTATTGTGCCCCTAGCTCATCACAATACATCAACCAGCCCCAGAGTGTCTATAAATTTCATAATAGACCCCGGGGACAGTGAGTGTATGTGCTCCTCTCTTGGCCAGACATGCCCTATGCTCCTATACCTCCTGCGTGCAACGGCATCACACTCCATAAGAAGGTGTAGAGGGGTCTCTTTGGCTGCATCGCAAAAGCGACACAGGTCGCTGGACCAGATACCTAATTTATGCAGGTGCCCTCTGAGCCTACAGTGGCCCGTCAAAAAACCTGTAATAATCCTTAGTTTCTCTTTCGGGAGATCCATGAGAAGCCTGTATCTTGACAGATTGTAACCTCCTAATAAGCTTTTTGCCTGACGTTGGCCCATGGTGCC